GTGTGTGTGTGTGTGTGTGTGTGTGTGTGTGTGTGTGTGTGTGTGTGTGTGTGTGTTGTGATTATAAGTTATTTCTTTACAAACGGAGTGTTATTTCGTCTCTCAGCAATTACAGAAAGCTATCAAAGCTACTAGAGAAATTCATCGCTATTACATATGCAATGAAAGCTCTCTAAAATATTTATTAATTTAAACAACTTATCATTTATTATTTTTAGTTAAATGAATATCTGTTTTGAGACAATACCTGTATGATAATATTTTATTATCGTTGTGACCATTTGCCATTCGCAATAGCATTCAATGCCAAAGAAAAAAAAATTGTCTGTAGCATGAGTCGTGACGAGACCGTTGTTCATTGCAACTCTAATTAGAAGACTTTGCCATTTCCGCTGGACGAATTAAGTCTAATCGCTCGCGACAAGGAGATAGGCAAGCGCGTTTTTCGCGGGGAGGGATTAGAGATAAAGACGCTAAAATGCGAAAGAACGCGCGGGCGAAGAGTGAAAGAGGGGTTCACGACCCTTCGGGCTCGAAAAAAGTTCGAGAGCACGAAATTAGTCGTACTCGCGGCGAAGGAGAGCGTTGGATGACGCGCCCCGGGGTCTCGGTCGCCGCTCACGCGCGCAGTCCCGTTTTATTCGATAATTATGCAAATGCCGGAATGATTGTCGGGCAATATGTCCTCGGAATAAAAGTACCGGGCCGGAGCAATTCGGTTATCTTTATGATTTCGGGTCGACCGTCGTCGTAGGGCGAAGGAGAGAGAAACGCGGTGGAATCAGGAACCCAAGGGGCGAAAGGGGGAGAGAAAGGCTCGTCAATCCTCGGCGACAAGAGTCAAGCCCTTCATTTGCATCGAAACATGGCCCTCTGGCTTCGCCTCCTTATGCGCGAATGCGACGACGCATTGCGATCAACGTCGTTATTTTAGCAGCAGTGAAATATGTACTTGAATTAATGCCTTCCTGTATGGTTGCGTATCTTCGATCGAACTATTATATTACACAGAAAAAAATATAAAAAATTTATAAAATGTATATAAAGATAAAAATCGTATGAAGATTGCTTGTTACATTTTAGATTGCATCCTTTCAAGGATTTCTAAGAACGAGAAAAAAATATTCTTGACGTACTTAATTTTATCATAACTTTATGAAGTATAAAAATAAAACGATGTAAGATTAGATAATAATTCCTATTTCTTCTAACTCGAAAATAAGCTTAAATTAAATGAGATTGACTTATTACCTTGAGACATGAGTAACACATGTAAATTTAAATTCGTATATTCTTACGTTTATAAATTAAATCTTCTTCCCATTTAATATTATGATGCACGATGCTGGTGCCAGTATTTGGCACGAAACCAATTGTCCAAAATATTTTATTTTAGATTTAAGAATTTTCTATTTAAAAGCAAAAATTAACCAACTGTTTTCATGAATAGAAAATAGCTGATGCATAAGGGAATCGTATTTAGGATTTACACATTCGGACTAATTGATCGATCGGAGTATTAATTACTGTCTCTAATTGCGTATTCCCTACAATTAGCCTCGAGTTTTAGCTTCGGCTTGACTCAGCTGGCGCTGTACCAGCCGCTCAGCATCGACAATGAAATGAAAACGTCTAATTAACGCACGGGAATGAGCAATTAAGACATTGACGTAGCGATCTCGCTGAATGACTGATTCAATTAAGAAGGCTTCTGTGTCTAGTGCTTCAGCGGAGCGTGCTCGTGTGGTATATTATCGTTATATTTACTATTAAAATATATTCCTCGCGCCGAAAGGGTGGAGCCTGTCTCGACCAATGGGATCTCGTCGCGTGCCTCAGGTCGTTACGGAACCTGCAAATTGATAAGAATACATCGCCGTACCCTTCAGCCCTTCATTAGCCCTCTCCCTCCCGCTCTCCTCTGTCCGAGCGAAGATGTCGGACGCGGAATACATTTTTATTCGCACCCAGGGCGATCGCCTTATCGCGCCGTTCTTGTCGTCATCTTTAAGGGCCGTGCAATTTGTCTATTCCCTAGAAAAGATCTGACATGCGTACAAAGTGGAAAACACGTGTACTTTTTACACGCTTCGACGAGCTGAAAAATGGAATAAGAGTCTGATTCATTAACCACGAGATATTCTTTTCTCAGGTGTAAAGAGTTTAGGGGAGAGCAAAACCTTGTAGTTCTTGGGATACATTTACATGAAATGAATGTAACACATGAAAAGAAAATGCAGATTGAAAGATAAAAAAAGCCTCCCAAGACGTCAGGGAAAGGATCACGTGGTGATATCGAATGAAAGAAATCCAACTTACAATAACAACTATTTATTTATAGGTAATAATGCTGAATTACAATGAATACACTTCTTGCCTCGATACTAGATTGTATAAGTCCGGTTGCGAAATCGACGTCACTAGTCACCGTCGCCGTGACTCGCATGTGTGGCGACGACAAAGTCCCCCTGCCCCCCTTTCTTCCATATTCCCAACTCCGCTCCGCAAACGTCTCACACTTTTCTTCTTAACGCACCCCATGTCACCTTTATGTCACCCTCACCAATTCGGTATCATTTTTCTCGATCGAAAATCGCACGTGCTGCATGTTCGGCGATCATTTCGACATTCATTTTATTGCACCGAAAATTAAACGATATGAAATATATTCGCTATTCTTTCTCTCATCTACAGTGATAGTTTGTGCGTGATCGTATCGATAATCATCAATGTGGCTTATCTCGCGTGAGAAATCGACTCAATCGGTCGCTCCGTCAATCTCTGTTCTCGAGATTTAATTTGTACTAATTGGCATCGGCCAAAGTCCTTATAATCAACGTTGACAACGAGAGTTCCTGCGGTTCTCGATCGTGAAAAACGTTACCTGAATATGCCTTGTCAACTCTCTCGGCTCTCAACCTCCCTCCTACCTTCCTTTTCTTCCGTCAATTGGTAGCGGCGATGGCAAATACGGATCAGCTATCGGTGGTTAAATTTTCGTTTCTCTACGTTTAGCATCGTCTTAACGGGCTTTAGCTGGTACGATACTAGACACTATGATTATGTGAACTTTACAACACAAGAACCTTACGGCAAAAGACTTTGTACATGGATCTTAAATACGGGGACCATCCCCGGGGAAATATCCTTGGCGCTTTCCTCGCTCTGTATCGCGCGCATCTTATGGGATCGTCGAAATCCTTTTTCTGCCATTTCATTCATTCTATTTGTTTTTCGCACTCGTCAAGAGATATTTCGCCGGATTCTTGGGCGGTCAACGCAAACGCGGGACACACGCAATATGGATTAGATTTACTTGTTTTCGGTAGTAACTAAGTTATTTATATAAATAAGGTGTTACGATTTAAAACGCTAGGAGAGAATCCTCCGTTGTTTCCGTTTTTACCATACACAATCATACACACACACACACACATACACACACATACACACATGCGTACGCATATACTCGTAAGATTCTTTCTATAAGACACTTCTAATCTCGTTTTCTCTCTCTCTCTCTCTCTCTCTCTTTCTCTTCCTCTATATATCTGTTGTTCATTCTTCAGTCAGTCGATCATTTTTATCGTCACATCATTCTTATTCTCTCACTTTCTCTCTTTCCTTCCCTCTCTCACTTTTCTATGATACAGCGTTCGAGTCGCGGCTCTAATCTCGTTCCGCATTGAATCCAGAAGAGACTCATTCGTCAATTTCCGCAATCTTACGCGCATTTTACAAAAAGCCGGCGCGTTTCTCGGCGCTGCGACGTGCCTAGTAAGAGAGACGGCGTTCTCGAAAAAAAATCGTCGCGACGTCGAGATGCATCGATCGGCGCCGCCGAAGACGCCGATTTCGAGATATCGAATGAGCCGGTCGCGACGAGAGGGCCCGCGACTCGACATTCGTTTCGCAGTGGCGATCGGATCGGGCCTCGCGCCGCCGCGGCGACGTATATAATAATATTAATAATGATAATAATACTCGAAATCGGCGCGCCTCACGACGACTGCGTGGCGCGTCCGATCGCCTGGATCCCTTAAAAACGATTATCTAATTAATTCGCTCGATAATTAGGAGATAGGTACCTCTAGGAACGCATGCACTCACGCACGCACTCTCCAGCAGTCTTTAGAAATATGCCTCTCTTATCTCCCTCTCTCGTCTGCCTCTATTTCTCTCTCCTCGTTCCCGATTTCTGTCCCGCCTACTGTCCGCGATCGTCTCGGTACCGCGAGAGTCACGCAATGTCCGGTCATCATCCATCACGGGTATAATTGATGGCGCGTACATTTAGAGAATATCTCCCTTCGGAATTCCGTCGTCGTCGAACGAACGACTCCACGATCACCGCGAACGCGATTTGGGAGATCGGCGAATATCGCGTCGTTGATATGTGTGCGGATCGGTCCTTGTCGCGAACGCTGACCGGACCGATCTCGATTCGAGGGCCCCGTTATCTCCCTACCCTCCCCCCTCCCTTCGAGTTTTCTCTTCGAGCGTCGGAAAAACGTGATCGCGGCTCTGTACAAACGCGTGAATAGCCGCACGTTTTTATTCGTTCGTCGAAATTGAGTCTACTGTCGCTTAACGCTCGCTCGTACGATTCTATCCGGAACTTACGAGTCTCCCGATGATAAAATACTCTCGTGGAGCCTTCCGGTACTCTCGGTATTCGCATTGTTCGCCGAGCTGTACATAAGTCTGCGCGGACACTCGCGCGAGATCATCACTCGGAGTTTCGCTCTTCCTCGTCGAATCCGTACATTTTTTTCTCGCGATCGATCATCACGATTCTGTTCCTTCACGTTTGCTTCTCGTTGTGTGAGTCCGCTCTCGTGGTTTCGAATTGCGCTTTCTGCTTTGTCCGATCGATCACTCGCTTCGGCTGCTAGCTGCACGATCTGCCTGCTGCCCCCGTCTGCCGTCGTCCGGCCTCTTCTAGGTCGCGCTCGTAAACAGAACGGAGTTCTTGTAGTAACCCGTCCGCGACTCTGAAACAGAAGCGATCGCAGGTGCACTTTGGAGTCCATGTTCCTTTGATTGTCTGCCACATCGAGCGGCTGTCGGGTGGTGAATTTTACTTATCGGATATGAAACTTCGCGTTTGCGCATGTAATAACAGCGTGGAGAATGGGGCTGACGTATTGAGTGCTAAATTTAGATCTTACCGCACCGATGTAGCATGAGTGTTAGGCGTGTCGCGACTCTTAATGGGAATACGAGAGAGGAGCGGATGTCTCGCGGATGAAGATGCATACAGGAGATGAATGGTCGTGGGCGTAATTCCGCTACGGGATGGAGCTCGGAGGATTCGGTGGTAGGTGCCTTCGCTGCGGCGCGATACGGTGGAGGTGGACCAGCTGGGTCATTCGATGATCGTTCGTTGGGAAGAAGGCGCCGCTCACTAATTATCGTTGGCTCTCGAGACGCAGATGAACGCAGGAGGGACGCGCGAGGTGGATGAAGAGATGGACGAACCGAGAGTCGAGAAAAAGGGCGAAAAGGGATGGGAGGGGGGAAGGAGGGTTGAGTGTCAGACCCTATCGTGTACGCATACGTTCGTAAATACGAGTCCGGCCAAGTCATCGGCCTTAGCGCGGCCTTTGTGATCGAGCCGCCACTCTACTTTTTATCGAACTGTCGCTTATGATTGAAAATCACTATACGTTAATAGTCCGCGTGATTCGGTTTACTCGTCTCTCCGCGCCCACTATCGTTCGGATCGGTTCAATTTGCCCGACTTGCAATGGCCCTCTCAGGATACGTCATTTTGTTTGATTCAACGTGCGTGTTTTAATAATATTTTATTCTTTTCTTAATGATTGGTTCCAATCATTTAGTGAAAAAAAAGAAAGCTTGGACAAATTTTAGCAACAGTTATATTATTATATAATATTATTATCATACATTATCATATATTATCATATATTATATTATCATGTAATATATATTATTTTAAATCAATAAATTTCTTAATAAGAGGCAAAATCGATAATGAGAGCTTTTGCGAAAATGCTATTTACTGCTTAATTTCATTCTTCTTGCGGTAGATCTGTAAGTAACATTACCGTGGATAAAAAGCTCTGGCCCAAGATGTGGGAGTTGATTTTGCAAGGACGTTGCCAATTAAGAGCAGACTTGTTAATTCCTTTCGAGAGCCCCCGAGAGGGTGGGCGTGCGGGTGAAAAACGATTATTTACGTGCAACGTCACGCCGGCCGGGGCCTTGGAGCATCGAAATCGCGCTACGGATATAGTTTTTGCGCGAGTTGGAAACTTCCTTCGGACAAGTTTCCACGGAGGAGAGCGAGGCCAAGTTTCGAATATGCCGGGGCTATGCCGCTGACGCCTTTGCAAGAACCGTCTCGCCCACCCTCCCTCGAGACGCGACCGCCCCTGAAGAGTTTCTAATTAAAGATCCGAACTTTATTCCGTATAGCAAGAAATCGCTCTACGCGTACTGCACGAAAACTGCGCTCTCCGAATGCGAGAACGTGAGAGAGAAACTTTCCGAGATCGTGAATATACTATCGTATTCGTGAAAAGATGCCGATTAATGCGATGGCAAAATGAAAATATATACATCAATAAAATAAAATGACTAAAAAAAAAAAGATTCTATAGAGTAAATACGCGCGAAAATAATCTCGTATTTTTATACAACGCACCTTGAAGAGGAGACTTGACTTGGTCCCTCTCGGCCGCTTGGTGCTGCCGCGATTTTCTCTCCAGCTCGAGTTCCTGCACCAGCGATTCTGCGACAAAAAAAAGCATACGAAATTGACAGACAACTGAACAACAAAACGACAGGGCGTGTGTATGTTGTGTGTGGCAAAGCATTTATAATATAGCCTACATAATACAATACTGTTCCGCTATGTAATCAACGCGCATAATGTAGTCTCACTAGCGTTCTCGGCTTAAGATTAATATCGGCGTTCGGATAACGCGCTCCGTTGCCTCGACAGCGTTGAAGGAATCGCCTCGAGGAGAGAAGTCCGTCGGCTCGCAACGCGCACGGACGGCGGGAACGACGCGCGGATTCGACGAGGCGTGAACCACGCGCGCGAAGGATGAAACGAAGCGGTAATTAGTGCAAAACCGGCAGCTACCGTCAGCCGCGCGCAAAAGGGGGATGGAAAAGGGACGAGCGGGATAACGGACGAAGGCAGGCGTGAAAGGGCCGCGGGTTTGCTCACTGAATTTCGCAAGGATTAGGGTGAAAACTGGAAAATGTCCCTTTAATGATATCGCGCCGAATTAACCGGGCACACGCATCTCGCTCCTGTCCTTTCGAGCGATTTATGCAATGGACGCTATTACAAAATTATGCGATTTTCTTCGAGCAAGTACAAATTATTATATCAAAACAAATTGAAAATTTTATAATAGCTTTTATGATTAATTAATTAAATTTTATTGGCAAATCTAAATTTCAAAGATAATAATATTTGACTGATTCACACGATTAGAAAGAAAAGAAATTTTTTACTATCTTTGATTGTCAATTAGAAATAAAAATCACATAGACATACTGAAAGAAATGTTTTGTATGATATGTGATTTAAAAACTTTTTTATTTTTTAATTAAAAAAATTTTATTCTAATCCAAATTTGAATAGAATGACCAAATTTTGATTAGAACATTTTTTAATTAAAAAGTAAGAAAGTTTTTGTAAGTTATGTATCATACAAAATATTTCTCTCAGTGCAGAGAATTAAGTGGAAGGATGGCATTATACAGTGCGCGCGAGCGTGCGACGAAAGGACGCAGATCTGATCGGTAAGCGTGAAATGGCGCCTCCTTGAGCAAAGAGCAATGGTAAAATCCAATTGCGAGGCCATTAAGTCCCGGTTAACCGGCGTGCGCGCGGACGTGCGAGAGGAGTCGGCATCGACGATGCTCTCTGTCCCGCATTCTCCCTTTCCCCCGCTTCTATCCCGCTCCATCTTTATCGCCGGGACTAGAGACGACGGGGCCGAGATTCCATTATGCTTTGAGCAACAATAGCTGAGGGCTGTTTCGTGGCACGTGGGTGTGAATTCGTGCGTTCGTCAGGGCCGTTATATTCCACGACTTTGGGGCACACGGAGAGCAATGTTTGCGTTTCGCTGAGCCAAATTACCTCTCGCGCCCTTATCCGCGCGCGGAGTGTCGCGTCCCTTTGATATCTAAATGACAATTTAACTGCTCCAGATATAACACTCGCTCGCTCGGCGAGTCTCACGGAGAAGGGTGGAGTAGGTAGGAAAGGGAGGACACCTCGAGGCGAAGGGCCGATTTAAGGAAACTTTCTTGCTTCATTCGGAACGGTTGAGAATACACCTTTTGTTACATCGAGCCGAGATAAAGACCATGAAAAAACGATTTGATTGATTGTGCACGTACTTCTTTTTTTGAGGGGGTATTCTCTCGTCTCTCGTTTTTTTTCCCATTCTAATAACTTGGCGAACATTCGCCATCGTTATATTGTCCGTCGATCCGTCCGACGTAAGAAAGTGACGTGCACAGCGACGACGACTTGGAAATCCAGATTCGCGATTTCTCGCGGGTATCGTTGCGTGCGTAGCGTATCGAATGAAGAAAGAAGAGAGCTCGTCGTTCGATCCCGTGGAATTCTGCAGACAGCGTACCTCGAGAGTCCAAGAAGAATGAACCGCTAATAGTTTCGCTACCGTCTTACACACCCTGACAAATCGTCCGGACAATGAAAACAATTTCAGACCGTGGCCGCCGTACGGGGGCCTCGCCGGGGCCCTAAACGGTTGGTATTGTGTGCCATCGCATCGTGCGCCGTATTACCCTGGCTTGGGGGGAGTGGCAGTGCGGCGTGAGGCGAGAGCCCCCTAAAAAAGACGTCCGCTGAAAAAGAAGAGGGGTCCCCGGTGGCTCGCCCCTCTATGACTCCGCATTTATCCGCACGTAATTAACTTCGGCACAATGCGGTCCGCGAGGAGAGGCCACCTTGCCTCATGGGTAGAAGAAGAAAACGAACCGAATCGAAACCGAGGACGGGGCGAGAATGCACGGTCGCAAGTCGGGGGTCTCGCAAGAACTGGAAAAACTCCCGCGCATTGTTCGCCCAAGATCGAGAATACACCTTCGCTCTCGTACGCGAACTTCATTATTATATTCCCCTGAAAACCCGATCTGATGAGATAGATTCCACGAAGACGACTAATAACTCGCAATTGATAAGCACTCTCGTCAGACGCTCGCGCTTTTTATTCCATAGGAGTTTTTTGCGATTACACAGCCGAGAAACTTCTTCCGCGGAATCTACCGAGAACGACGGCCTTGAGATTTAACCGGATTTGCCGCGGCGGCGCCGGATATCGGATATAATCGTCAACGTGATGAGTGCACTTGACATGTTTCGTTCTTGCGCGAACGACGAAAAAAGCAATTTAAGTATCACATCGAAACGATGGTAATTGGCTGAATGCTCTTGCTCACTCGAGGATCTCGAAGAACCCGAGGGTTAGTGACGTTCGCCAGCAAAAAGGGATATAGGGTACAAGACGAGGACAAAGGGGGAGACGGGGGAGAATCTAGAGGGTTGATTTCGTGTAGCATCGCGTTTTTAATGTTCCGATCTTTATGTAAAGCAGACGAGGTTTGAAAGGCAGAGAACAGCAGCAGCAGCGAACGGAAAGCAGAGGGCCGGAAAGCGAGATATATAGGAAAGGAGGGATGAACGGAAGATGCGAATAGGGGTGGGGATAGGCGCTTGAGCGCCAAGCCGACCATGAAATTGTATGAATCAAGGAGCCGCATGGAGCAGCACGGAGACACAAAAAGCAGAGGAACTATGGGAGGAGAGAGGATGCAGGAGGAGAGAAACGAGGATGAATCTCCGGTGCCCGGGCCTCTCTTCCTCGCTTTCGAATCGCACGAATCTTATAATTTCAAATTTCCGTTAAGTGCGATCACCTACCATCCTCTACCTCAGTCTGTTTACTTTCTTTACCGCCCTCCTTCGCCCGCACTCTTCTCTCTACATCGCAAAATCGAAATGCTACACTAAGACACGTTCTGCATCAATTTCAAGTCCGTTCGGAAAAATACACAAACACATCGTTAATTCAATCACGATTTATCGATGAAGTCTGTCTCAGAGCAATGTCATCGATAATATTTAAAAATAAATCGACGATATCTAGAACGATCGATGAGTCTCGCTCGGTAATTGTTCTTTCTCCCAGCCACATAAAAATCTCTCTCTTCCGTATGCCATTCGCGTCAAAGCTCTCCAGTAACGAATTTAATCCCCTCACAATCCGGCGCCTTTCCAATAGGCGCCTGCGGCATTGCAAAATAAGTCGAGGACAGACTTTTCTCTCTTTTTCGTATGTATTCATAGTAAGTTTAGAAGTCTCCGAAAATAATATCGATTTATCTCCTTGTCATAAACTAACAAAAATTTAAATTACGCTATTCAAAAAAATGTGTCTAATTCATCGTGAAAGATCGTCATTTTTTAGATTTGTTATTCGTTATTCCTCAAATATAAGAAAACAGAAGAAAACGCCCCGAGTAAGCAGTGATCGCCGTGCGGGGAGGGTCTTGGAACAACCCTAATATTCCTGACAACACCTACCACATCGTCAGCTTGCAACCACGCGATCTACCATTGCATTCAGATCGAAACTCTACCTTTCTGCTGCCCTCGACTTTCCCCTTTCCCTCTTGTCTTCCCTGTCCGATTTCTCCTGTCCCGGCTTGTTCGCCGGAAAACCACATCATCGTGCCCTGTGGATATATTCAAGGCGGGGGATGTTTCCAAGCCCTCCGTCCTACCTCCGCCGCCCACGTCAGCGCGTCGGCTTCCTTCAGCCTTTATATCGCCCGTACATACGCGTCACGCTTTATCACTCTTCCGCGGGGTTATTGTCTTTCCGCGTAATGGTCTACGCACGTGTACGTACGCAGGTGCGACGTTCGCATTTTCTCGGCCGCGTGGGCGGCTGGAAAGCTGGAAATAATCCGGCGCGCGCGCGTTCAACGGAGCCCGTCCGTCGTCGTCGTCATTTTTCCTCCCGAGGCGATACGCTTGATTTGCGGGACTGAAGCTTAAAACTTTTTACTTCTCGACAACGTTTGACTTTCATTTTTCTCTCTTTTTCAGTTTGTAGACCGCACGGTATTCAAGGTTAATTCATTCGTGGAAGCGCCCAAGCGCGGTGTGTAAAGACTAAAAGGGTTTAGCGTTTAACGACGTTAAAGCCGTAGTTGTATGCTGATGCTGATCTCACAAGACATCGATGAAAAATGATACCGGCGTGCCACGATCGCGATTATTCCCATTTCGAATAATTCCCGAGGACTTCGTCCATCAAATATTAATGCCCGCGCGGCGATTTAGAGTGATTGCGGTCGCAGGGTGGAAGATGGAGGTACAGTGCACCACACCGTGGAGCAATCTCGCAAAGTCTCGGTGTGGGTGTGTTCGTACGTGCTACGTCTCTTCGTGCGATGGAAGAAACACGGTTGGGCAGGATAGGAAGGGGGAAGAAACAGGGGAGTTAGACGAGGAGGAATAAGAGGAGAGGAAATAAACGATAGAGACGGCGAAGCTGAAGATGGTGGTTTGAGAAGGAGGATGGAAAGAGCGAGAGCGAGCGAGAGAGAGAGAGAGAGAGAGAGAGACGGAGAAAGCAAGAGTGTTGCGAAATCAGGAGGGAGGTAGAGGAAGGGGGTTATGGTTGCTGCGAAATTATTGCATATAGTCTGAATATTAAAGCGTGGCGGAGTGCTTCGTCGTACTCTGTGGATGGTGGACGACGTGGAGGAATCGCGCGTCGTGCATACTTGTACACGTACACCGCGTCGTACATACGTACGTGTATGCACGCGCGAGAGAGAAAGGAAGAGAGCAACGCGACATAAGAGAGGGCGGGAGAGGCATCGCAGGAGGCTGGAGGAGGTTTAAGGGAAGCGCGGAGGGAACGTGAGAGTGGAAGAAGGAAGGGAGGACAGGTAACGCCACCGAGAGCCGCGTTGGCCGCCGGGGAAATTACGGCTCCTTCCTTACTTGCGAGAGATGTGCATAAACTCTGCATTACAGCCAGTGGCGCTCATGTGAGTGCGCTATATGGGTGGACACGGGGTCGCGAAACTGTGATTGCATGATTGGAAAAGTGAGGGATGTGACGCAACATTGATAGCAGTAAATACTCTTTCACAAAAGGATTCAATAACCAGAGTTAGTAGGGATTTAGGATCAGCTGAAGGCGACGATAAAGAATTATAGATCTTGAAGGAAAGAATCGACCTATATTTTATGGCAAACATGTTGCTATAGAATTAATACGCGAAATATTTTTTTAACGGCCAGATCAACGAGATCTTCAGATTGCAACGGGAAAATTTATCGATTACTGATCGAAATTTACGAGAAACACTTCCTTCATTGACAATGTGACATGAATGAGAGCCATCGCTCGTATAGAATGCATGACTCGAAGACGCGGCGGTGGCGGCCCCCGAGGTCCCCTCAGTGGCGTAAGTACCCACCTCAAACGACATTATGTCGAACCACCTCTTTCCCCGTATTCCTTCTCGATGGTCACCCCTCCCATCCCCTCTTCCTATCTTGACGCTACTGCTCGACTCGTCTCGTTGTCTCTCCTCTCCCGCGTTACCCCCGTCTAAATCTCCGTTGTTTATTGCAAATGGATTCCGCATCATGATGCCCGAGTGGCTACGGGACCCTATTCAAATACCTCGTGTTTCCTCGTCAGGACCTGCTCGGTTCCTTCCCCCTCTCCTTGCCTCACTCTCTTTCTCTCTCCCTCCTCCTACCCTCTTCGTGCACGGGGTTGTTATTGCCGGCGGCGTGATTGCTCTCGCTCGAGATCTTTCGAATAATTTACTTTGCACGATACCACCACGACATACTACCACCGTCCGCTCCACCGTCTCTCTAGCCCTCGGGGTCAATCTCCTCTCTTTTCTTCTTTCTCTCTCTTTTTTTTTGTCAGGGTAATCGAGGATCGAAAGCACTCGGCCGGAAGATCAGAAAAATTGAGTGGATCCTAATACGGGAATGCGATTATCCGAATTAGCGGATCCCGCCGCTGGCTCTGGGCCTGTATCCTCGAATCGTCCTTCCCCCTTCCCGTACTCCCTTGACCTTAAGTTTCTAACACGCGACTGCTACTTTCTCGAATTACCGTAACTTTATATAATGTAGATAACAAACTAGTTTCCTTGAGCTGCTTTATTCTTTCCCGTCAGGCAACTCTTTGACGTTTTCGAATTCTTTTCAGAATATATCTCACCGAGGTAATGTAATTTAACAGTGAAACTCGAAGGGAACACAACGTATTGGGACACGGCCGGGATGTTTCGAGATATCGGGAAGGAGGAAGAAGCGGAGGCGGGAACGACATGGCTATCGCGATCCTCCGTTAACGATAAGTGGCTTAAGTATTCCCTGTTTATTTTTCCGCGCGCGGTTCCGAGAATACCGTGGGAACCGTAAATCGACGATGAAACCGAACGCAACAGGGTACGACGAGGGTGAAGTAGCGTGCCGTTGGAAGAACTGACCTTGGTAGTTTTGCCAGAAGGCCGACGCCTGGCTACCGATGAGATCCAGCCCGTATCCCCATGCGGGTTTCTCCGGTGTCGACGGTTGCTGGGAAGGACGCGGTACTTGCGCCTCCCGGTACTGCTGGGCCGCTGTCTGTTGCTGCTGAAGGGGTTGCTGCGGCGGTTGTTGTTGCGACGACTGCTGCTGCGACTGAGAATGTACCGGGCTAGCCTCCGGCGGCTCCGAACTCGTGCGCGCCTCCACCGTTACGTTTTCTGCGTCATAGAAAGATAGCAATCGCCCGATTATCGCGATATTAAAAAAAAAATAATTCATCTCCGTCTCTAAATCTTTCCTCGACATGACGTGCGAGCGGAATAGATGGAAAAATTTGAGCGGCAGCAGGAAAGCGAAACTTCTAAGTAACTCATAAGATCATGACCATCTCACGACTCACGACACCCAAGTGGCGGAGTGACGTGCCGTTTGATTTGAAATTAGTATCGCGACTCTCTGGATTTGACAGGATTAATCAGCGGTACCAGTGACGGCAGCAGCAACAGCAGCGGCGGCGGCAACGGCGGCGGCGACGGCGACGGAGGCAACGGTATAGCGAAGGTAACGCGAAAACGATGAGGTGGAACAGACGGTGGGAAGGTAAGAGGTGAAGGAGCCAGGACGAAACATTATATCGGAATAAGAGATTTCACTTAAAGGGTTTCGCGTTTGAGTTTTGGTAGTGACAGGAAGAAGGGTGGCGTGCCGCTTGTTGCTGCTACTTCTACTTGCCGGAGGATCATGGGGCGAGACGCGCGGTGCCTAGTCAAGGTGCTGGAACGACGGGGGAGAGGGGAAACAGAGGGAAACAGGCTGCCATCAGCCAGTCGACGACGGAGAGGGATTGCACCGCCGGCAGGGGATAAGTAAGGAATCATATTCTGCCGGGTGTCAGGCTGTTTGCTCTGCCTCGGCGTATTAATTAATTTATTCCGAGATCACCGCTGGCCCCGGGGCTCTTAACGGAGAGACTGACGACGAGCTCGCGAAATCCTAAGAAAACTCGTCCATTTGCAGCGATCTCGTGTCTAATCTACGTGATGAAAATCGAGACGTTTTTTGTAGAGCAAGATATTAGCAAAGAATTTTCAGCGCGAGAACAGAGCGTTTTATAAGTATAATTTCTGTTCAAGTTCTTAAGTATAATCTTCTTAGGTAAATGACACTTTCCAATTTCGATGATATAAATTTGCCGGTGTGAAAACTTATTCATAGAGAAGGCGATTCGCACATACCGGTAATCGCTCTGACTTGCTCCGAGGACGCGCCCGTGGCTTTGAGGGCCTCCTCCAATTGCGTGCGCCTCTTGATCTCTAGGTCCAACTGCTCCTGCAACCGTTTCCTCGCTCGTCGTTCCTTTTTTAACCGTTTCTGATAAATCACTGCAACAAAGAATAATGCAATCATTTATAGCATGACTGATAAAGATTATTGTTTGTAATATTATATATTATATATTTCGTGAACGGTTGACACACGTTTCCGAACGGCGTAATAAAAATACGCGGCAAATTCGCGCTGACCATCTCCGTCCCCCAGGTGGCGGAACCCCGGCGTGGTCAGAGTCCAATGGAATTATCCTGGCGTATCATTCTACAGCGGGGGGCTTCACACCGAGCACGGCGGGCCCCAAAACTCAAAGTACACGTCTAAGCGGGGGTCCGATCGTCTCGTCAGCTACCGTGCGTGAATCCGACGGTAGCCGGTCGAGTCGAACGCCCGAGACGAATCGTTTATCGATTTCTCACAGTGAGTCACGCCGCTAAAAAGATACAGAGGGAGCTTGCATTGGACTCCCGCATTTGCATAATATATGAGTATCAAGCTAAAGCGAATATATGCAAACGAGTATAAAAAAATACGATAAGAAGGAAAAACTGCTCTTTGTATTTCGTTATTCATCAATTTCTTCGCTTAATTTGTTTCACTTTGATACTTAGATAGTCAAAAGGAACAAGTATTATTGAAAAATAAAATATGTTAGAAAAATAAGTAATAAATAAATAATATATATATATAATTATATAAATAAAATTCCATATATATATATATTTTTTCAAAATAATTTAATTCCAAAACAAATTCAGCACAAAAAACGTGATTTGACCGAGACGAATTTTCAATCTATCATAAAGTTTCTCTTTGTACTTGTTTTAAAATTATGTCACGAAGCATTCCAAGGCAACTTGTCGTTTACCACAAGTATTACAACAATGCAGGCTTGCTCACTCTTTCGTGTCAGACCATTCATTCTGGTCGCCGCGCTTTCAGACTTCTTTTCCGGATTCCAATGTCCCGTTCTTTGTCGCCAATGCAGACGTATACGAAATCAATCCACCATGATGCGCGCACACAAATTCGTGTCGGAACTCATACAGATACACATGCGCGCGCGCGCGCGCGCGCAACGTTAGATACACGTGTAGGACGGCGTGGATTCGTCACGGCGACGGGTGTGCGCGTAGGTTCGCTCAGATCCAGCATACAGGCGATCGGTTTGATCGGTCGAGACCCCCGCGTCGGCGTCTTTGAACGGGCTCTCTCTCCCCCTACCCGCTTTAATTATTTTCCGTCATTGTGAACCGGCGCGTCCGGCCATTGTACCTTCTCTTGGGCGCATCTCGGCCCTCGACACTTTTGGCTCGACCTCTCTCGCGGGTTCTGGCTTTGTTCGACGACGATTCTGCCTTAATCGTTTCTCGTTGCGCCGGGTTCGACGAATAATGGCGTAGAGCGGCGCGTCTCCGTCCGATGAGACGTTGACCGGTTCTTGCGCCCGAATCCCGCGAAAAGATACCTCAGGGCAAAAAGATTAAGGTTCGATCGATTACGCCTCCTCGATTCTATTTCTTCGACCTTCCGAGACACCATTGAAGACACAAAAATAATATCACAAATGCACGCTTCTTTAAAAAGTACCGAAAGTACTTATTAAAAAAAGCTTATTAAAAAATAAATATTGAATTATCTTCTTCGTTTTTAACTACATATATATGTATTACTCTATATGCATTAGTCGGATTCTTCGTATAGTCGATCGACGTGCCGAAATGGATCTGTCGTGATTCTTCAGGATGGTAGACTCGGCGGAAGACGGTAGCTCCTACTCGCGTTCTCTCGATTTAACATTACCTTACCCTGACAGGTAAGACGGTAGCGCGAGGCGTAGGTACGACGTCGCCGTAGGCGTACTCGAGTACGACGACATTACCTTCCCTTCGCTTTCGCGCCGGTATAGCATGGAGATTAGGGCACGCGGCTTTAATCGCCCTCCACTCGCGCGTCATTTCTGGAACGGTAATCAGAGGATCGTATTGCCGCCGTGGAAATAAATCGTCGTGCAAAAGCATCCATCCACTTTAGATGCAAATGTATTTCTCATTCGGCCACACACCGGCATCGCGAGAATATCAAGAATTTTTTTCTTGAATCTTGTTGCGTGTTTGTATGTGTGTGTATATACATGTGCATGATAAAACATCGCGGAAGCATCGTTGTCGTTCGGACCAAAATTCAACGTTCGCGGATCCGTCGTGATTCTATGGTTCAAAGTAACGTAACAGCGGATACTATCGATGAGCCATCGTAAACAGGTATCGCGATCCTATCGATTGTGTCTCGCAGGTGGCCGCTGGTTGAGCGTCACTGATACGTGATTGATTCCCGGCAGACAAGGCGCAGACAACCCCTTCGTCCCCTCTACCTCTTCGCCATGGCCGTGTGCCCCTCCTTTTCCTCCCTGCCTTATACACCTCTCCGTTTCCCTCTCATGCACTCTTCTCCTTATCCACTTTGGCATAACGCGCCTCCGAGACGTTTTCTTCGTTCCTTTTCTTTCGCTCTTTCTTTGTCTTTCTCTCTCTTTCTCTTTCTCTTTCACCTGATGTTTCGTCTTCTTTGCCTTCTCTTTCTCTCTTACGCAAAACGAAACAAGGGTGGAGAGAAAGTGGGAGAGGGTGGGGGCGGAGAGGAGGACGAGGAGGGCAGAGGGAAGAGGTTGCGGGACGGCAGCGGCAGGGAGGCAGAAGGGGGCAGACTTCTCGCAGTGACGGGAGGGGCGGTGAAGAGGAAACGGGGGGAGAGAGAACGCGAGTGAGCGCCGGGGCACGGGGGGACAGCATTATGATGCAAAGATGGCGCGGCGGCGGCACCCTAGAATTAGCTCGAGCACTCGCCATTGGCCGCTCAGCAAACCACTCCTTCGGTAACAACCGACTGCATACGTTGCATACTAAGGATACACGCGAGACGGCAAAGAATTGCCCCGAATGCGGCTGCTCGCTCCAAGGATTCGACGACGTTGTCGACAGTGCCAGACCAGGAGTGTATTCGCCAGATCTGCGTTCCTGCTGGCTCGCGACGAAAGACGAGTCTTTTTCTTCCGTGATATTTTGTTAGGCAATCGCGTGAGGATCTTTCGCGCCGATCCCCATGATTGTAAACTCAGACGGGATCCTTTTATGCGGTTGACTATATTGTTCCGATTTTTCTTAAACACAGTCTAGTCGGAAGAATATTCTTTATATGTGTAACACGGATACGCGTTACATATTTTTTTCTTTTTTTGCAGTCGTGGCACGAAAGAGCCACATTATTATCGCGAATACCGAATTTGCGCTGCTGCTTCGGCGACAGGAATCATTATGTCTAAACGAGTTCGTTCGTGATTGCTGTGCAAACTTGACAGAAAACATCGTTCTCTCGAAGAGTACCAATCGAGCGACGACGACAGCGGATCGTAGATCGAGGAAGAACTTGTAATTTGATGCTAGCGGATACCAAAGAGAGAGATTGCACGGGTCGCGGAACGGTGTTGGTGATGGCTGGGCGCGGACGTTGTTGCGCGGGGGTCTAAGGTCTTAGGGATGATTCCAGAGTCACGGTCGCACGATCTCGCTCTCGAGTTCCTACGAGACGCGAGAGTACGACGACGGACAATACTTTGCCGATCGTGAAAAACTGTTGTTCCACGGCTTGTCTCTCTCTCTCTCTCTCTCTCTCTCTCTCTCTCTCTCTCTCTCTCTCTTGCTCTTTTCTTACTTCCTCTCGGTACTCATCGGAGATGCTCGGGCTTTTTGCACGTTACTTCGCCTTGGATGTAACTGCGGCGTAACTTCTTTCCCAACCAAATCGAGCGCGCTCGGTACTGAGCTCGCGCTTAGAGCTCTGGGGCTGGTAACCCGGTAACTATCGGGGCAATATCATCTCAAGATTTCAACGCTAGCTTCTTTCTTGCATTCCTACGAACGTCCGAGGAAAAACTTTGCGGTATTCGATCGTTATCATCCGCGTCTATCTTCTTCTTATGTATCTCTTGCGATCTTAATTATCCTTAAGGGGATCCTAAAGCCGTTTGTATTACCGACTAAATCGTAATTTTTGTATAATATACTTTTTTTCTCCTTCATAGAATCGAAAATCCTTTTCCAGGATTAAAGTATACGCATTAATACGCGTTTGTGAGATGGAGTTTATCCCGAGAACGACCAAAAATTTTGAAATTGATATATTTTTTACCATTTCTTAGTGTAACATAGCGTCTCAAGCTGTCAAGTCTTGACAACATTTGTTTGATACGAAAGTTTTATAACTGTACTTACGAAATAATGATCCACACAAAAACACATAGTTTGCACGAACAAATAACGTCGAGTTCTTAGAATTACACTTAAACGCTTTATCGCGATGAATTTGTTATACGAAAATTGACACGAACGTGCGACTGAATGTATCGTAGGTTGCGTGAGGTAGTATACATATAAAGACATGTCGATGCGTTGGAAAAACAGCGACATTTAGTGATTTTATCGGAGTTCGAGCTTTGTTTTAGGATCCCCTTAAGCACATGTAATTGCACCTACTTCGGAGTTCAGTTATATGTCATCCAACATTTCCACATTCGTGCTTTTAATTAAATTGCTGACCGACTCATCCATATATTCCCAAGAATCTTAAAAATATTTTTTGTTCGAATCTTCACTGGAAAAAGTCTTGGCTCGCACACACACACACACACACACACACATTAATTAGAATTCTTGTAAATTCAACATTAGAAAGGTACAAATCAGACACTTGTAATTAAATTTATTAAATAGTCGAGATGACCAGAAATTCAATTATAATTAGAATTCTGACTCATATGATCAGAATTCGTTTTGTTTATATTTCTTGTTGATACAACCAAAACATTTGTCGCAATCTCTCAGCAATTAATTTAGCATGGGATCAACTACTACATATGTGCATGCGTGCGACGATGACATCGCGCGGTTACATAAGGTGCATAATAGAAAAGGGAAGAAATTCGCGGTCGATTATGAAACCAGAGCCGAGATGCATGCAACTCGTCGAACGGTTGTCTCCCGATGCGGTAGATCGT